CCCAGAGGGGCTTCCCCGGCCACCCCAGCGCCACTGAGGCTGCGGGAGGAGCGATGGGGAGGACCTGCCTGGAGCTGGGCTCCACCAAGCCTCAAACCACAGTGGAGATCCCAGCTGGCTTTGGGGGGACCATGGGGGCCACTCGCTGGTTGGTGAGGCTGGGTGGGAAGGGGGGAGACCAGCTCTGCTCAGCATCCACAGGGCTCAGGTTCGTTGTCACCCTCCCCATTTGCCTTGTGCTGCTTCAGCCCCCTGTGAGCCCCTCTGCCTGCCCAGGTACCTTTTGCTTGGTTTTTACTCCTTTCACCCAAAAATAGCAGTGCCAGCAGAGGACATCTGCAGAGCAGGGCAACAGCCAGGGTTTGCCCTGGCCACAGCTGCCCCGTGTCACCCCCTTCTCCCCTGGGGGACATTCAGGGCCATGTGGGACCCCGCAGTCACCCGGAGTGGCCCTGTGCCACCTCCAAGGGTGGGGGATGCCCAGCGGTGCCTGGCCATGGGGTGAGGGGGACGCTCCCCGGGCGAGGGACAGTTGGACAGGCAGCGGGTGATGGCAGCCCACGGTCACACCCACTGTGCCCAGTGGGTCCATCCCCATGGGCAGAGGGGATGGGGACTGCAGGAGGGCAGGGGACAGGCGGTCCCCAACGGGGGAAGCTGGCAGCCAGCGCTGGTGGCAGGGGGGTGGCTCCCGGCAGCCATCACTCTCACCTGTGTCTTCTCTTCTTCCGTGACCCCGACTCAGACCTGAGGGATGAAGAGGAGACAGTGATGAAGGAGACACACTGAGCTGGCCAGCAGGGAGTGAAGGCCAGGCAGCCCCAGGCGATGGGGACAAGGGCAGGGGGTGGCCCTGAGATGGGCTGCTGGATGGGGCAGGCGACAGCTGCTGTGAGGAGGTGATGGCCCCATGAAGAGCCATCATTATCCATCCTCGTCCATGCCTCCATCCTGCTCGAGGGCCTGGGCAGCCACCAACCAGCCCCCCTGTCCCCGACCCGACATGGTATTCACCCTACCTGTCGCGTCTGTGTTTCTTTCCAGTCTTCTTTTTCTTTTCTTTGCGGATGGGTGAAGAGCTGTCGCAGCTGGGGCAGGGGAAAGTGGGTGCCCTTGAGGGGGGAGCAAGGGACTCCCCAGCTCCATCCCTGTGGCCCCAGGGGAGTCCCATCCTGCCACCTCCCCAGCACCCCACTTCCCCTGGATCACCCACGGGATACATGGACATGGAAGATATTTCCTGGGGGGGATTTGGGCTGGGAGATAGAAAGGGGCTTTTGGCAGAAGGGGTCTGGCTGCCTTTGGTGCTGGAGCACCTGAATCCCTCTGTGTCCCGTTGCTACCTCTTGGGCTCCGCAGCCTCCAGCAGGAGATGGGCTGGCCAGTTCCCACTGGGATTTCAGAGGGGGGCAGTGGGTGGTGGAGGTCAGCCCGTGCCCACGGGCCTTGCATGCCCGGAGGGGACTCCACAGCCCACCCAGCCCGGCGGACACTCACCTGCGCTCTGAGCCGGGTTTCCTCTTTTTGCTGCCGTGGGGAAGGCAGAGAAGAAAGGGACATTAGGGACAGCATCCTGCCCGGGCAGCCAGTGCTAACCAGGGAGGGGACCAGCGGGTAGACAGAGCCAGACCCTTCAGGGAGCCAAATTCTGCCCGGTGCTGTGCCCTGCGGCAGCCAGCTCCTTCCCAGCATGGACCAGACAAGATGCCACCGGTGCATGCAGCTGGGTGGGCTGGCGGTGCATCCCACAGCACTGTGCGTGTGTGTGGTGCACCATCGGTGCATGCAGATGCGTTGCACCTCTTGAGGGTGCACATTTGGGGGTGCACTGCCTCCCCAAAGTGAGGGGATTTGCCCCACTGGAGCCTGGGGAAGGGCTGAGCTGGGAGGAGAGCTGTCCTCCCAGGAGAGGGGACAGCGCAAGGACAGCTGGGGACTCACCGGCTCCGGCGGTGACCAGATTTCTTTTTCTTTTTCTTCTTGGGTGGAGGAGAAGTGGAGCTGCTCGAGCGTCTTTTCAGCCTGCAGGAGAAAGCAGGCAGGGTTGGGGGAAGAAGGGATAGCCCCCTGGCCTCTGTGTCCCCTGACAGGGACCCAGTGCACACCCGCTCCCCAAAATCCCCGCAGAGGGTCCGGCCATACCTGTACTCGCGGTGGCCGCTGTCCTCCCGGTAGCACTCAGCCGAGCAGTCGCACTGCAGCAGGCAGCCCTCGCCGTAGTCGGCGTACTCCACCGCATACTCCTCCCCATCCACCCCGTGGTGGTTTTCTATCACACTGCCAAAGGAGGAGGCACAGGATTAATTTGGGGCTCCCTGCTCCTCATCTCCCACCGGATCAGCTCGTGGAAAGCCTGGGGCAGGCCCAGGGCAGCTACAGGACCTGGGGAACGTCCCTTCTGCCACAGCATCCCCAGAGGACCTTGGGCACGTCACTTGAGGTCCATACACAGCAGAGCCCCGTGGTGAGGGTCTTCTCACTGTCTTCCTGGGGCTCCCATCCCTGCAGAAATCCCTGCTGGGCTGGGGCTTGGGCCACCACCTCCCCACAGGGGCTGGCCTTGGCATCATTCGGAGCCCCTTTTAGTGTTGCCCGAATGCCAGGGCTGAGCAGGAGGCTGGGGTCAGCCCCGGTAGGTGGTGGGGCCAGATTAGGGTGAGAGGAGCCAGCAGGAGACTCAGGGGATTTGGGCGATTGCCCGCCCGCTGGCGGGAGCTGCCCAGGCTGATCCAGGCTCTGAGGCCAGCACCCCAGGGTGCCGCCGGCTCAGCACCAGAGCTTCAGGCAGGTGATGGGTGATGTCCCCCCTGGGGCAGGTGAGATGGGGTGGGGGGCACATCAGGCCTGGAGCCATCAGGGTCTCCTCTCCCTCCCCAGTGACTTCACCAGCATTAATTTTTCCTGCTGCCATGGAAACCAGCAGGAGGTTGCCATTGACTACCAGGCTGCGGGCAGGCCTTGGCAGAGGCCTGGCAGCTGGACGGGGCAGGCAGGAGAGACCCAGGAGTCCCTGCCCAGCCTCTCCCTGCCACTTCCCACCTCCCCAGTCCTCCTCTGCCACCAGCTCCAGGAGCAGCATCAAACCCCACTGGGAGCCTCTCGTTTGTTCTTGGGGGCTGTGGGACGTCTCACCCCGGGAGGGACGCGCTATTCAGGTGCTCTGGAGGGGACCATAACGGACGGGGCTGTGCCAGGGGGGTGCCTGGCATCACACCAGCCTGGGCACTCGCTTCCCAAGGGAGATTTGCCCTTGTAAACCTGATGTGGGCTCCTCCGCCCTTCCCAGCCCGGAGGCGTGTGGCCAGGGAGGCACAGCCCCCACGGCACCGGTCCCTCGGCAGCCCAGCCAGCACCTCCAGCTGATGCTCCCAGCCCCAGATGGCAGATCCGCGAGAGGCACGTGCTGGCATCCCTGGCCACAGGCAGGTCCTGAGCTGGTTAACCCAATTAAAAACAGTTTGGACCAAAACTACAAGCGAGGCATCCTCCTCCTGACCGCAGACGATCGCTCAAGCGGGTCTCAGGCTCCCTTCTGTGCCGCAGCCATGGCTTTCTGGGTCCTCTCCAAGTGTGTCCTGCTTTGGCCATGCCTCAGCGGCAGGAATGGCCTTTCAACCACCCACCCAACCGTGGGAAGGGGGAGAAAAGAGGAAAAGGGAAGAGCGAGCAGGGATAATTCCCTGTTGGACTCTGCTCTGCGAGCGGGCAGTGCTCCACGCCAGAGCCTGCTGCCAGCATCTCACTCATTAGCTGTGTTCGGCAGCTCAAGACAGGCTTGTGCTGCCCCAATTATCCCTCCCCGCCCAGCGCACGCTCGCATTTGTTTCCAGTCCCACCAGTCTGTCCATCAAGCAGTTACCCCCTGGGGACCGGGCTGTATCACCAGGCTGTGCACGCACAGAGATGGGAGCTGGAAGAGCGCAGAAAGCAAGCCAGGGACTCAGGTGGTCACGGCTCTGCTCAGTGCCTCAGTTTCCCCTGGGGAGTTTTGCAGATGAGGCTGAGCTTTTGCATCTGCTGTGAAACAAGACCAGCTGGTTCAGACTCATGGTCCCTGCAGTCAACGACCGAGCTGTAAAAGTCCGGAGAGGTGCTGGAGCAGGACCAACCCATAAGTTGTTTTGCTGAGGACTCTCCCAGCCCCTTCAAGGCCTGGGGCTCTTTATTTAAAGTTTATTTAACTCCGTTGTCCAGCCTCTTCAACCAGCACAGACCTTTTGAACCCAGGATGTCCTTTGGCAGGGACTTCGGCAGCTCAGATCCCCACTGCTCGCAGAACCACCTCCTTTCGACCCGGATCCTACCAGCCTGCTGCAAGCACCTCCGGCTTTGCTCTCCTCCGAGCAATCCTTTGCTTTGAGACTGCTTCTTCCAGCTCAGCACTATTATTTATAGCCCCTGGGCTAATCTTTAATGATTACCCTCCGTTTTGCTAAAGCAAGCCCACAAAGGTGACAGGTAGGGCTGCCTGGGTAACCTTATCACACCTTTGGCTTCCCTACATGCTCGTTACGGCTCCAGCCCTAACAAGCCTGCCCGGGAAGATGCCCTGGAGATGCCTCATGCCCCCACGGGCAAAGGCCACTTGTTAACACCTTGGGCTGGATGCTCCTTGACCTGGGCAGGCTGGTTTTCCCCATGCCTTGGTTTTTCCTGCCTGGAGGAGGCCCCTGAGTGCTTTGTGCTGCCCCAGGACCACGTGCCCCATCCCAGACTGGGAACAGCCAAGCTGTGTCCCTCCCTGCCTGGCATGCTGGTAGAGCAGTGGGGAGGAAGGCTTTCCCCTTTGCCACGGCTTCCCTGCCTCCCCCCCTCGCCCTGATTTCCTGACCCTAATGAAGCATTAATATTCAGTGAACCTGCAGCATCTATTCCTGTCCCAAGTGACCTGGTTTCCAGGCTGATGGATGGTGCGTGCCGGGCCAGCAACGCTGCCTGGGCCATTAAGCATTGCACAGATAAATCATCATCGAGCCAGGATGGACCCTTCCGAGGCTGGGGACAGTCCCGCGTGGGGTAGGAGGAGCAAGTGGCACATCTCCAGCAGGAGCTGGGCTGCTTTGGACACCTATAGTGAGCCCCAAGTCCCCCTGGGGCAGAAGCAGCCCCCAGGGACTGGGCAGCATGAGGAGCAATTAGGAGACCGAGGCACAGGGCAGGAGCTTGTGGGAGAAGCTTCTTCCTTGGGGCTCCTTGGGGTCACACCAGCCTGATGGAGACACAGGCTCTGGGTCTACCCAGGTGAGAAGCAGGCTCGAGTCCTCCCTATCCAGTCTGGGTGCCTTGCAACAGAAATTATTATTACTATTATTAACGATTATTATTGCTAACACTAATATTTCTAGGGTTACAGAACAGCAGCCAGCCTGCCTAACCATTGCCAGCCGAGCTGAGTTACCGCAGCTTCACACCCGGAGACAGAAGGACTATTCTGCATTACGAAGTGCAAGGACTGGAAACCAGTGCCCTCGCCTGGCTGGAGGCAGAAGCTGCGATTTCAGCCCCGGGGAGAGCAGGGGAGGTGACCCAAAGAGGCAGGAGCAGGCAGAGGTGAGGCTCAGCAGACCTGCAGCTTGGTCTCTGCCACAGGCTGCAGGGTGAGCCAAGCATCGAGACCTTCTGCACTTTAGTTTCATCATCTGGGATAGGAGCATTGCAACGCTGGCTTCTCTGTACAGCACCCTGAGGTCTCCAAAAGACCAGTGCAGGATAACCTCTAACTTCTCCAGAGGCAGGATACTACCTCAGAGAGGCAAACGCTCAGAGAGGCAAACCCTGCTTCCAACTAACCGACTGACTGCCCAACCAACCAGCCAACCAACCATCAAATCAACCAACCACCCACTCAACCTTTCAACCAACCATCCAACCAACCAACCAATCATCCATCCATCCAACCCTATATACCCTCTCTATGTCCATCCATCAACCCAACCACCCCTATATATACCCTCCCTGTACCAGTACACCCACCCATCCACCCACCAATGCTCAGAGGCAATCTGGGACGTGCCTCTCTGGCCTGAAAGAGAGACAGGCCGCACAGACAGGCCGACTCGGAGCTGCCTCACTTACATTTGTCGCCCATGCTGGTCCTCCCTGGTGAGCACGCCTTCCTTCTCCATCAGCATTTGCCGAAAGGTCCCCACTTTCTGCCGGATCTCCTCTTCAGAGTACCTGGATGGGCAAAGACACGGTCAGGGCTGCCGTGGCCTGAGCGTGGGCTCCCCAGGGACCTGCTGAGGACCCCCATACCTTTGGGAGCAACACGTGGCCCAAAGGGCTGGTCAAAAGGAGAGGTAGCATGGCGACAGCCACCAGGGCCTGGAGGAGAGCAGGTTGCTCTGCTTGGGCCCCTGCTACCACCCTCCATGCCCTCCTCTCTCCTGCCTGCCCCTCCCAGCAGTGCCTGGCAGAGGAAGGGACATCAGGAAGGGGTAAAAGAAGAGGACAACCATGAGGTTGCCATTTGCCCCACTGCTCCAGGTTTTGGGGCACATCCCCACCAACCCCCCCGGCAGCGCCAGCATCGCAGCCAGTTTGCGCCCAGCACCTCCGTCCCATCACGAGCCTCCCTCGCTCGTCCCCGCGCTGCCGGGGCCCCAGCAGCCGAGCCAGCTCTGCGCTAACGCCGAACGCTGACTCAGGCCGCTGCAGGGTTATTAACGAGAGACACTAATCACTTTGTCCCTGGCATCTGAGAACAAGCCGCGGCAAACCACGGTGCTCCAGCCATCCCCGAGGTGTCCCCAGGGAGGGACAGGTGACAGCCCTGGGCAGGCAGTCCTGCGCCGCATCCCGTGGCTGCACAAGGGCACCCAAGCATCCCCCTTGACCAAACCCATCCAAACAGAGGGATGCAGGGGAGGGACCCGCAGTGCTCTTGGCATCATCCCTGGGGACAGGGCAAAAGGAGAGGGACTCCATGTCACCACCACGCTGCTGGGAGGGAAGGGGTCTATGTGCATCCCTGTCCTCACCCACACTGTCTACAGGGGCTGCTCACAGCCAGTCCTTGCGGTCACCGTCACACGCCATCAGCATCGCTGCTAACGAGCCCAGAAAACTGGGTGTCACAGGCTGGCCAAGCCCTGTGGTCCCCGAGGCTGGCGCCTTGCAGAGCCCATACTGGGGGACGGTGATGGCCCTTGCAGCGCAGTGGGTGCCCCTGGGTGCCTCTGGGTGCCCTGGGTGCAGAGGGACACGTGGCAGCACGCACCCCCCCTGCGGTGCCCATGAACGGGAACGGCGAGGAGAGGCGAATTAATATTAATGAGCTCATTCGCACCGAAAGACTCTCATTAATTCCCCAGCCAGGACTCCCGCACATGCTAACTCTACACAGAAGCAGCCTGGCTGCCTCCCCTCGCCTTGCACCCTGCCTGGGCACAGCGGGCCCCAAAAACCAGGCAGTACCCCCAAATGCTGCTCTGCACCGGACGCTCGCTGA